TTCAGGGGTGAGAAACTGAAGCATAGCTTGAAACAGTGGTTTGAGAGTCTATGTGACTATAATTCTAATACATATAAAGAATGATGCATGTATTGATAGCTATGATCTTACTCAAATTCAAGATGAACATTATGTTGTTGTAAATGTGGAAGGAGGTTTAATTAATGCTTGTCAATTTGTGTTAACTAAGATGTCCAAACTTCTATGAATATGAGGTGGAATGAAAGCTTTTTGAAAGAGTGAGAAAAAGAGCTGGAAGGAAGAAAGAGAGAAGGGAATTAAGGAAGGTTATTTTTGAAATTTTTACAGCTCTTACATGAGGAACCAGTGTCTAGTTTTAAGTTTAAAATATCTGATAGGTCACTTAAACTCCAAATCCTCTTTGTAAAATAATTATCAAAAGCTAAGTCTACTTATATCTACTTATAGATAGATGCTAAAGGACAGAAAAAATGAAAATCCCTGATGCTTCTGTACCAATGCCATTGGTAATTCCATCTTTATCTTTCTCCTTTACCTGGGGACACATTTCTATGTGTTTTAAGTGCAGGAAGCAGTCAAAAGAGATACATAGATGTGTAAATAAGAAAACTTTATGCAAGTTATTCCCTGTTCATCCACAGTAATAAGGAACTGGGATGTTCTGACATAGTTAATATCTAATTAACCCAAAGTTATACTTGATTTACTGACTTTTAAGGAACAAGAAAATAAATGAATCTACCTCTAAAATTACAGAAAGTGTAATGTTATTTGTTTGTAGAGATTTTTGTCTTAGGGCTCACATACTTGCCAGAGAGAGAGAGGCAGACTGACAGTGAGAGGGAAAGTGAAAAATCAACCAGTAGGAGAGATGGCCACGCCAAAATTCCTTTCTTCCATTCTCCTCCAGGGGACCTTGGGCATGCACACATACGTATCCGGCGTGAATTTCAAGCCACCAGGTCCCAGAGTCGGCCATGTGGGAGTCCAGTGACGTAACCACTACGCCATCTGCTGTCTTTTTTTCTTAAAGCTGTTTGGAATTCTAAGAGCACATTAAGGTTATGATTTATAATATCTATTACCATGAAAAATTGTTTTTATTATACTTTATAGTAATTTGATAGTGGGTAAATGGAAATAAATTATATTTGATTTTTTATGGGTAGCTATGTCTTTTCACTATATTTAGTTCAGTAAATGTTAAAGTTTTATATCAAGATTTTCTCCAGTTCCTGTGTACTCTTTAATTTCCTGTTTGTCAACCAGTAACTTTGAAACATTTAATTTTAGCCTTCCTTTACAAATGTACAACAAAGTGAAATTTTGCTTTTACTTTTAGAGAGAGAGGTGATTTTGCCAGGGTCTCACTGTGCTGGCCCTCTGGCCTAGTCTCCCCATTAGCTAGGATTCCAGGTATGCTCCTACACCCGGCCTGGTTAGGGCAGTCCAGGAGCTGAACTGAGCCTGTTGTACAACAGTACCTTGTTGCTGTGCTACTGTGGCTGAGCCTGAAACTTATTTTTGAAGGAACCAGATTCACAGAAATAAAGTGCCATGGTGCCTAGAGAAAATGAAGAATGGAATCCTAAGTCTTGTTCTCTCTGTGGGTTTCCAGGCACTGTTAACATCAGGGGTTCACTGTCTATAATGTAGACAAGCCAAATGGCAGCTGTATTCAACAAATGGTGCATAGTCACCAAGCAAAGCCAGCAGAGGTGCCAGCTCTCAACAAGAGTAGGGAAAAAGGTAGCATGGCTGAAGGTTTCATAACTCCCAGGTAGAATTGGATGGGTAATTTTATCTGTCTTCTCCACCGTCCCCCACATCTCCTTTCCTAATTGCTAACCTGAAAAAACACATTGTGCTTTCTGCATTGATTTCCCCCCTCTGCCTAGAATCAAATGGAAATACTAATGAGTAATGAAATAGCCTAAGGCAGACAACAGGGTAGGAAACAGTGAATTTGATTAATTAATCTGTCCTGAATAATCAAGAGGCTATAATATTATCTGTGATACATCTAAGTAGTGGGGAGTTTTTTCATTAAAACAAGACTTATTTTTATCTAAACAAAATAATGCATATTTTAACTGACTTTGAGATCAGTGTCTTTGGGACCAGAGTCTCTAGAAAGGACACTAATTGCTACTTTCCACTGTCCTCTATAATACCTACCATTTGCCAAAACTTATAGTCAAGCTGAAATAGAAAATGGTACACTCCCCTTCTTAAAACCTTTTATTCTTTTAGGGACAGTGCACTATTGTTTCATTGTGGTATGTATGTATGCATGTATTGATTGATTGCCCTTTCTCCTACCTACCTATCTTTGACTGTGACTTTCATTTTTCTTTATACTTACATGCAACTTAGTTCTGTCTGTTGGTTTCATATCCTTTCATTAAGACTCTCAAATTCAGAGTCCCTAGCTCTAATGCTTCACCTAGGCAATACACCCATCATTCTGCCTCTTTTCCTTTTTCCTTTTGAGATCGCAGTTTCCAAAAGTTAGGCCTCTTTTATACTTAATTACCATAGTCTGACTCTTCTTCATCTTCAGTGGTGCCTTCAAAGTCCTCTCTTACCTCATTTCTTTCTTTTTTTTCTTATTTCTTCTGAGAGAGAGAGAGAGAGAGAGAGAGATCACTCAACAGAATCTTCATAGCACAGTCCATCTCCAGCCTCTGCCAGCCATGATTATGGGCACTTGCATGCCCAGTGTATATAGGGAGTCCTGGGGACATGAACCTAGGACCTTCCTATGTGGTTGCACTGTTACAAAGCATTGCGTTACCACTGAGCTGCTGCAGTTGACCTCTTTCATCTGATTTCTTTTTTTTTTTTTTTTAAGACATTTTTGCTATAGGGCATATGTGCTCGCCAGAGAGAGGCAGAGAGACAGAACACAAGAAATCACCCCTCACAGGGATGGCCATACTGCAATCCCTTCTCCATTCTCCTCTCGGGGTTTAGGCATGCACACACACTTGCTCATCTTGAGTTTTAAGCCACCAGGTCCGGGACTCAAACCATGGTCGACTACGTGGGAGTCCAGTGACGTAACCACTGTGTCATTTGCTGGTCCCATTCCATCTGATTTCTATAGCAACCATTCAAGTGTGAGTTCTTGCCATCTAACAATACCTGACATTTGCCATTCTCCTCACCCAGCCTAAACCCCTGCAGTAGCCTCCTGAATACCAGGTGTCACTGGCTCTGCTCCTCTACTTTCAGCCTGTTCATTTCATCGAAGCAACAGCTAAGTTTTTAAAGCATAAATTACTAGATCATCAGGAAAGTCAGCATACTTTTCTGTGTTTTTCTATGCAAAAATATGTCATGATTTTCCCAACAACTCAATAGGACATCTGAATCCTTCCTCTAAATCAAAGGAGAATCAGTTTCAACCTCCTTTCTTGAGCCTTTCGTGAATAACATACACTGTCCACCCATGGCTCTTTGATCTGTCTTTTGCTTTTCTTGTCTCTTGTACTTGGCCAGAATCATTGCTGCAGACTGCTAGGTGGCCTTTTTGCTGGAATATTCTTCTGAGTTCATTCTGTTTTTATCTATTAGATCAGTCTAATATTAAAGAATATACCTTGTGGGGCCAGCAGATGGCGAAGCGGTTACATTGTTGAACTCCCCCATGGCCGACTGTGGGTTAAGTCCCACACTTGGTGGCTTGAAAATCACCCCAACTATGTGTGCATTCAAGTCCAAGATCCCAGGAGGAAAATGAAGAAGGGATTGGTGGCATGGCTCATCCCCCCAGGGGGGTGATTTCTCACTTTCCCTCTCACTGTCTCTCTCCTGGAGGTGCACCTGCCCTAAGGTGAAAACCTCTTAAAAAAAAAAAAAAAGAGAGAGAGAGAGAATGTACCTTCTATTATTTACTATAGTAATGGTATAATCTGATTCATTGGCTTAATAAGGTTCACTTCACCATCCTGTTTTCTCCTATTCATTCCTGCCTCCTTCCTATGCATCTTTATACCTGTGTTAATATTATAATACCATGTTCTTTTTACTCCTGTGCCTCTTTCCTCATCTGTTCTCACCACCTGAAGCATCCTTTCTGTTCATTTCAGTAAACTCAAAATGGACTTTAGTGTCCCTGTCTCCAAGTCTAGCTTTAAAACCAACATTAGGGTCTAGGCATGGTGGTACACACCAGTATACACAGTGCTTTGCAGGCTGGGACCACATGGGAGGCCTGGGTTTGGTTCCTGGTCCAACCTGAAGACCAGGTGGTGTTCATTTGTAATCCTAGCAACTCAGAAGGCCAAGGCAGGAGGATCACGAACTCGAGCCTGACTTGGGTACAATGATGAGACTCCGTCCAAAAAAGCTGGATGTGGTGGTCTGCATCTGTGGTCTTGGCTCCTAGTGGGACGTGTGAGGCCATGGCAAGAGGATCATGACACAACATGACCCTGTCTTTAAAGAAAAAAAAAAAGACCAGCCCTGTAGCATAGTGGCTAAACTCTGTATTTTAGGAACCACATCCTATGTGGCTGACCACAGTTTAGATCCAAACCCTGATGACGTGTAAAGCATGCCAGGCATGTGTGAGTGCATGCCTAAAATCCTGATGGAGAAATAGAGGAGAAGGGATTGTGGCATGGCGGCGCCCCACTAGAGGGTGTGTTCTCTCCTTTCTCTTTTATCTCTCCTCCAGGAGTGCACACGTTCTTTAACAGTAGAAACAAGAACAAAGATACCTACATTGCTTTCCCTTTAGATCCTTCCTATATAAGTTGTATGCTTCATGGTAATTAATTCTTTTGCCATAAACGCTGATTTACTAGTTATTTCTGTCAATTCCTCAGATATCTGAAGGCCATCCAGGCTAGAATAACCTCTCATCTCTGTCCTCTGGTAAATGTACTGTTTCCTGTAGAATTAGACGGATGGTAACTAAATGACTTTATTTGAAACTTGATATGTTAGCATTTTTTTCAAGCCTCTATTTGGAATACTTCAGCCTTTTTTTCTTTTCTTTTCTTTCCTAGAAAGTGGTTTTTTTTAAGCAACATTCAACTTTGTGAACCTGAAGAATTTCGACCATTCCAAGTCTTAATACCACACCACTACTCCAGCGCATTTCTGCTACGACTGGTAACTATGACCAGAAGCCTGAAGAATTAAAATGCCAACACCAAACCTTACCTTAACAGCTTCTGGTCTATACTGTTTCCATACATTTTAATATATTATTTTGTTTTATAACCACTTCTAAATATTCTTTTTTTTTTTAATTAAGGAGGTTTTTTCGTTTGTTTTTTGTTTTCTGTTTACTTTGTGTACAACTACCTGCTTTTTAATGATTTGTTTTGATCAAATGACAGTGAACGAAACCAGCCTAAGCTGGTACGGTGCTGTTCACTCGAACAGGTGCTGTTGTGCGGAAAGGAAACTCAGTGACTAATTTAGATAGTGGCTTTCCTTCTTCCAGATTCTTTCCATTGAATTCTTACCATAGATATTTACAGCGTTTTCAGATCACAGTAAACATGCTGTGTGAGGAAATATTAATCCAGATTAAAAACATTTCTTATATCTGGGAAATTTTCTAATGTTTGAGAATTTCATTGGGGATGTTTTTTATATTGAACCCTTTTGACTTTCCAGTCCTGTGACTTTTTACTTTTAGTGGAGAGTCAGAGAATCTCCAGACTGGAGAACTATGAAGAAGTCCCCTGACCATGCACTGTGTTTAGAGAGACCCAATCTCACCACAGTGCCAGTCTTTCTCAGACACGTGCTCTTTTTGACAGCATTCCAGAACAGGAGGGAGGAGAAAGATAAAACAGTCTTCTCCCTTCTTCTAAAAGATTCAGGCAGCTTAAAACTTTAGTGCTTTCTTTCTTAACATATTCAAATTTCAACACTTTCCATTATTTGAACACTTGGGTAGAACCCTTGCTTTGTATTAAACTTCCTTGCATACATGTAGAACTGACCTTTTGTTATTGAGCAGGTATATCTCTCTCAGTTCGATGATTCACACAGGTTGGAGGACACTGGGGAGGGGCAGGAGGCTGTGGTGGTCTTTTGTCGATTGTAAGAAAGCTATACCATTTAAAGCTGACACCAGAGACCCGATAGGGACTTATTAACTGTATTGAACATTTTTCTCCTTTGCTTTTGACCCTATGTATAGTTATGATGCCAGATTAGATTTATAGCAGCTTCAAGTTGTATTAAATGATATTTGGCTTTCTGTAATACTATTATAAAATAAAGTTTGTTTATTCTCTAAATTTGCTGCTTCTCTTTTTATAATATTTAAAACAATAAACGTTATCAATATTTTCTATGGAAAGTTCTAAGTATTTTGTGGTATGTAGCATTTTTTAATAAAAACCTTCTTTCTGTTGTGAGAGAGAGAGAAAGAAGGGGCTCCAGGGGAAGGGAGGGGGGAGCAAGAGAAAGAAGAAGCATCTTCGACAGGATCCCCACTGCCACCTTCCTTCACCTGTCTACCCTAGCCCTTCCCACCAGCCAAGATCATGACTGCACCTGGCATGTACAGGCCAACTGGGAACCAAACCTGCAATTTCCTACATGGACCCAGCATCACTTGAACAGCATAGTACTTTTGAGACACCCAGGGGACCCATGTAGCTGCTTTTTTTTTTTTTTGGTAGCTATAGGGTGCTTGCTGGAGAGAGAGCATGCAAGCGAGTGAGCAAGAGAAGTAAGAAAGTACTGCTGGGGGATGGACATGCCACAATCCCCTCTCCTCCATTCTCCTCTCTGTGTTTTGGGCATGCATGTACAGGCACACAACATATTTTTTCAAGTTGCAGGTCTGGGACTCGAACTGCATAGTCTACCTTGTGAGCACCAGCTGCCCTACCAACTACCATGCCACTGGCTAGCCCCCCACAAAGCACTTTAAAAGCATGTTTTCAGCTCTGTTTTATAACTCAAAGATGCTTAGCAGCTCTGATTTGAAATGGTGAAAGGCAGTGTTACAGTTTGTAAATCTAATGCTTAGCAAGCCAGATTCCTGCTCTGCCTGATTAAATAATCCACCCCAGCTTTTACAGGCTCTCCAAGGGATATTTTTGCTTCTTTTCTTTGTGTTTTTTTGTTTTGTTTTCAGGAAATATTTTAGCTCTTCCATCCGAATCCTGCTCCTCTGATTCTTGCCCTACATTTTATTTCTTGCCTGTTGCACCTTAATGTATCAGGCAAATCAGACTTTGCTGAGAGCTGTGTCTTCGTCTAATTGGGACGGCTTCTTGTGAAGCGTTTACCAGGACACATCAGATGATGTGCTGAATTTTCTTGTCCACATTATACAGCAAATGGCCAGTAGGGTATATTCCTTTTCAAATGTGATATAGAATTTCCTTCTCAAGTCCCTCAAAGTAAATGTGTTAAAAATATTTTGCATAACTGTCTTTGGGATCTGTTCTCACTAAATTATCTGTCACCTTGTGAAAGGCCTTTCTCACTTTCTCTATAATTATTACAGAAACAACTCTCTGAAGAGGCCTGTCTTTACAAGCTAAGCCTTAGAAATATTGTGGAACCAAATGTGATTCTGTGAATACATTTCTCATTAGAGAGTTTGTATGTATAACATTCCTTACTTAGCAAGACTCTCCTGAGAATGCCTTGAAAATTCGAATACTATTTTTTTTATAAACAGAAATCAGAAAATTAATTTTCAACATGTATTGAACATTAGGAACTCTGGGAGCTATCAGAGTTCTGTACTCTGATTTCTGAGATTTTTTCCAAAGAACTTAAAATTTCAAGGCCACACTATTCTCAGTATATAAGAGCATTTATCTGTTCTTAATTTTTCAGTTGCTGCTAAATTGTCTAAAAGATTCTGGAGACTGTTAGTTGGCCAAATTAGAAGTTTGTGCATTTTTTTAAAACAGATTGCAAATAATACTTGAGAGCATATTGTATGTCCTTCCTTGCCCAGTTTTCAGTTATCAACTATGCAGATACATTCAAAAGTTCATGGAAAAATAGAATTAAAATGAGTATATTTTAGTGCAAAAAAATTTAAATCTTTACCAAGTTTTCTCATAATAATTATTTTCTGTGAACTCATATTTTTTTTTGTCAGAGGGCACATGTGCACTTGACGGAAGGATGAAAGCAAAAATTCAACCCCTATGGGGAATGGTCTATGGATATATATATATATCACTGGTATATGGTATGTGTTTGTGTGTGTGTGTATACACACGCACACACACACACACACACATATCGATCTTGGGAAACTTTAATAATGGCAATGTGATAGAATTTAAAGTACTAATGTTTTGTTAAAGTTTCAAGTTGTATTCCTTTTGGGAAATTCTTTTGGATTCTGGAATATTACAAATGAAATTAGGAACTATTGCAGTGAGACCATTTGGAGATGTGAGAGCAATCTTGGGTCTCTGGTAAAAGACTTGGATGCGGAGAGTGGAGCTGACGACCAGCTGTTGGCCTGGCCTACTGGTAACAGAAACAGCTCATTCTGGCAGCAGCAGTGAAAAGGACCAAAGCAGTCCAGGCCTGAATGAGATTTGAAACTGACCTTGGAAACATGGGGAAAGTCAAGACATGATTCCAACTGCTTGGCTGTACTCGGTAAGGGTTTGGATGGATTTGCCCTCAGGACTTATTGTCACCATGGAAGGAACTGACTTTCTGTTTCTCTATATGTATCAAAACCAGTAAACCTGGTCATAATTTCATTGGAGGTAATTTATTCAGTTTGACAGCAACAATAGTTTATGTCTTGGTTTAAACTACTTGATTATGTTGCATGTATGTTTAAGGCTCATCTGTTACCATGACAGCTGAAATGGTGCACTGGCATTCACCATGGCCAAAAATCAAGCTTCCAAAGTGCCCATTTCTGGAAGATGGAGCAAATCCTGATGGCTGAGCCACAGATTTGGCTGGCAGCTGCCCGAGTCGGGAATAGGATGTGTCCTTTCACACCTTCTGTTAAAGAAAACATTTTTACATAAGCTGATTCCGCCAGGGGCTAAAAAGAGATTCCTCCCAGAACTGAAAGAATATTCCTTCCATATGGCACAAATACTGTTTTTCTAAATTACCTTGGTTTGAAAGCCCCAGCAGACATTTTCACTGTAATCAGGTGCAAAAAAATGCAGATACAAGAGTCTTCAGTTGAACACAGAGTTTTATATTAGCAAGATGTGCAAGTGGAGTCCACTCACTGGATGCATCTGAAGAATATTAGGGTGGGGCAGAGAAGTAGCAGAAAACATCCAGCCTGTGGTCCATTCTTGCTTTTGGTTATCCACATAATCTTGCATGACTGAACTAGCACCGATACTCATGCATTTCTTACAGGTAGTCAGATTCATTTTGTTTTATAATGTAACTCTAACAGCCTGTTAACATTGTGGGCAAAGACTGGAATGTAACCAGGCTTACCCTTAAGACAGATTGAACATCTTCTGTTAACTACAAAAATTTGGAGAGCATAACAGTAATCACAGTCTATTTTAACTACTACCTTGAATTAAATGCTTCTTTTCAATTATCTATGTCGGCTCCTTAGGGCTCCCACTGAAAGAGAAGAATGCTACTAGTAAAATGTTGACTTCTTTCCATATTTAGAAATAGCTCCCTGGTGTTCTGGTTTTAGAGGCAAATTCTCTTGAATTATTCTCGTCAGGAATTGTGTGAACATTCTGTTCTTTTTCCCTGACACCAAATCACCAGTATTGACAAATTGCATCATGGTGACATTTGTGGGTTATCCATTCCTAGCATTGGCAAAATCCATACACTGTTTCCCATGATGACTTATGAAAGCAGCTGGGAAAAGAGAGAAGTGAGCTCAGGTCCAGAAATGATGTCTAAATGGTGTCGTTTAAGAGTTGCTGAACTGGAAGAGGAGCAAGTGGAAGTACTCCATGGAGGACGCTGTAGAGCTCTCTATAAGGCACTCATATTTGGTTGTTCATTTGATCTCTGTCAGTTTCTTTACCTCCAAAATCAGAATAATGTGGGCTGTCGACTTCCACGTGCTTATGTAATAAGATGCTTATGAGTTTTATTTTTAAAATATGCCCCTCAGAGTAAGCAAAGTCACAGTAATAAAAAAAAAAAGTCACAATGTACCTAGTCCAGAAATCCTATGTTCTTGGTACTTTCTGAAGAACCATTTTATATATACACATACATATGTGTGTGTGTGCGTATGTGTATGTACATGCATATATGTGTGTATATGTACATAATCAGTTATTTAGTTAGGTTCTTGGCAAGAAATTTAGAACACCAATTTGTGAGGATAAACTCCATTTGTAAGGGCAAACACGGATTGCAGGTAGCCCTGGAGCTGAGGAACAGCTTTGATTTTTGGTAAAATTTTGTGCTGCTCCGAATCTTGCATTTCTCCTCTGTGTCGAAGATCTCACTGTCCTGGTGTCTGGGCTTCCACAGCTGCTTTTTCTTGAAGTAAACACCTGTGAGGTGTTTTGGGATTTTTTCTTTGCTAATGTCAATTTTCGTGGAGGTAGCAATGACAAATTTCTGGTGTGTTCTACGCAGTGGAACTCACTTGAGAACCAGAGGTCCAGTCACAAGTAGCAAGCCACTGCTCAGCTGCTTCTGGAAAACCACTCTCTTGCCTCTGTGGTGTCCAGTAAGGGTGATCAGAATGGTCCCAGGAAGAATGGTGGCCCGCAGCTTTCTCACACGCTGACTGCTTTCGAGGCATATACTCAGTAGGATAATACCTAGGCTTTTTGCAGTTTAACCACCCAGTTGCCACCATTCTTGTCCCTACCAGCCGGTTTTGTGACAGTGGCAAGAACCTTCTTTTTCTTTTCAATCCTGGATTTAGTGGCCGAGTACTTCCTCTTGTATGTAGCCTCCCTGGAATATATGGCAGATCGGGAGTATCTGTCCATGCCCCAGACTAGGACCGGGTTTCGGTTGTGATGGGGCTTCCCCTTCTTGAGCTTTTTAGCTTTGGGGTTACCCTTTTAACCTTGCCACTGGCATCAGCCTTCTTGTCTTCAGGTTTCTTCTCCTTAGTATCCTGCTTCACAGCTTTTTCACCTGCCATCTTGTATAGTGGGCAACAGAAGAAACACTTTTTAAGCTGAGTCTCATAGAAGGTTTCTTGGTTAATTAGCTGATGTTTTCATTATGGTTCAGAACAAGCACCTTAGTATTCTTATCAGCCTACTTTATTAACTCAACTGTTGGCCACTGGTTTCTGGCAAGTAGAAATTCATTGTGCTTTAGCCACTGGCCAGTCCTCCACAACAATCAAGTCCATTTTATTTTCTGGGGCAGGAAAGAGTTACCCTTGCGACTATGTCGGTGAACAAGAGTCTGGGAGAGTTCTTCATTAACTGAAAGAAAAAGTACATCAGTTAATAGTTTGGAAATAGCTGATTGCCCCTGGTCATTTACAGCTCCTAAGTGGTTAGTGGTCAGCATTTTGGACACTGGTAGCCTCAGTGAGCTACAGAATCCAAGTCTTAAAGCAGTCCTATAGCAGGCTCTCTCTCCTTACTCAACTACTACTAGTGGAAAGGTAAATGCTTCTTTCTAAAGGATGGTCCTGATTAGAATGGACAAATTGCTACTGTAATAAAAGTGATATACTAGGTATATTTTACATTTAGTAGATTAAGTGTAGATTAAATTAAGACACCCTCCCATCCAGTAAGCATTTATTGAGATCAGAGGTTGGGGACATTGGAAGGAATAAGATAGGGTTTCAGCCCCCACTCCTCCCTTCCAAAAGTGTACTTAGGCATGTGAAGTCAAATTAGTCTCATTCTTTTTACCTTTTGGCCTCTTTTGCCAACAACTCTAACTATTTCAACTTTTCACCGCCTACACATTCCTTAACAGCTTAAAATATACCCACAGTTAAAACTATTATATGAGAGTATTAAAGCTCCTCAACGATGTCCTAATTATTAAATCTAGTGTCATTTCCCATCCCCAACGTTCTGCCTTTATAGCATCCGACACACACCGCCTCTGCCCCCTCCCGTGGTCATCCTACTCCTGTTGGCTTTATTAGGTACCGTCTTTTGTGCACTCTGCTCCTAGAGCAGCAACTAACATTTCTGGCAACAGCTATTAGGTTATCCGGAAAGTCTGGACATGTTTTTCTCTGCAAAAATGCATCATCACTTTCCCGACAACCCAATAAATCTGTTATTTAGCCCTGAGGTTTCAAGATCCTTGAGATCTTATGGGTACATCAAAAGACACATCCCTCTTCTTGACCAAAACATATAACTGATCCTACTTTTGTTCCCAAAAGTTATATTTTCAAAATTATAATTAATCAAACCAGAGACCAGGAGCTTATCATTTCTTGGAAGATAATGAACATTGTAGAATTAAACTTGAAAATGTTCTTTTTGGTTCCCACAAGTCCATGCAATGTGTCCCTTGCCAGGCACTATGCCATGCACCCCAGGACACATGCACTTCCTGTGAGGTGGATTCTTCTACAAATGTTTATCATCTTAGGAAAAGGTGCATATGCATCGGATGGTGACAAACCCTAGGCTACATGAGCCGTATTTAATAGCCAATATTTTTTGAGCAGTTGCTACATGCCTGACACTATGTGAAACCCTGTGTGTGCTTTACTTGCTTCTTGTAATGACATTATGAGATAGTCACCATTCTTAATTTACGCATGAGCAAATAGATAAACTAAAATGAAGCAACTTGCTCAAGATTACAGAAATTCTGGATTCAGGATTTGATCCCAGGCAGTATGACTGGAGTCCACACTTTAAACCACTGGGTTATATTTTTATACTTGAGTTTTGCTATTTCAGAGATATTCCCTTGAGATGGCCCCATTGCTTAGACTATAAACATTGAATATGAATAATTCTCTTTCATTCTTAGTTACCAATGGCTAACTGTACTTTAGTGCTTTGAATGAGGGACTAAGATACAAATTGTACAGATAAAGATAGGTGATCTAAATAATAAGATTGAAAGAAGGGAACTACAATAGTGCAGGACTAGAATAGAGAGAGCAAGGGGAAGCTCATCAATTTATAATGAATCATATATCTGAGGATTAAGTGTCTGTGCTAACATCATGTAGAGATGAGAATTTATTCTTTGGGACCAGCAGATGGTACAATGGTTATGTAGTTGGACTCCCATGTAGTTGACTATGGTTTGAGTCCTAGATCCAGCAGCTTAAAACTCACACAGGGTACGTGCACACACGTATCCAAAATCCAGAGAGGAGAATGGAGGACACGGGATTTTGGTGTGGCCATTCACCTGGGTGCAGGTTAGGGTGATTTCTTGCTTTCTGTCTCTATGTCTCTCCAGCTAATGCACGTGCCCTATAGCAAAACTCTATCTATAAAAGAATTTACTCTTCCTAGAGAGCTTGCAATCTTGCCATCATTTTGTTTCAGTGAGTCTTTTAAGAAAGGTGTGCAGAAATTAGAGGGACAGTGGCCTTGAAAACACCTGAATTTGTTATTGTGGAAAACCCTACAAGGAATGAAGTTTTCCCTGTTGAACCATGTAATCTCTCTGAGAAGTAGGTCTTTGTGCTGAGTAATCACCATCATCAATAATTATAATTACTCTCGTTACATTAACCAAATCTCTCAAAGCCTTTGTAAAATTCTTGCCTTGTTAAAAATTCTCTCACACTTGGCTTTCGTGTTGGTAGTAAGTTTATTTGCCTGGGCCAAAAAGATTCATTCATTTGACAGATATAACACCCAGTTGATGTTCAATACTCTAGGAATAATGTACTGGCCAAAAGGCCTAGCCGTTGAGCAGTCAGGGTTCAAATCCCGTCCCTACTACTTCCTAGATGGGTCACTTTTCGCCATTTCAATAATAGCTATTATTATAGTGGCACAAACTCTGCCTTCTTGGAATTTACAAATTAACAGGGGTAAAAATGACTAATAGTTGTTCAGAACAGGCTGTGTTAAGAGCATTTTGTTTCACCTCACATAATCCCCATACTGACCCTGTAGCTATGTCTTTACCATTCTGTTTTACATGAAGAAACTGAAGCTTTAAGAAATTAAGTAGAGAGTGGCTGTTGTCCTGGAATTCAAATTTAGGGTTTCCATTTGGTTTGACTCCATAGTCTGAACTCTTAACAATCTCACTCTGCTCACCTTTTAGTTATTCTGCTTTGTCAAAATCATTATTTTTTTTTCTTTTTGATTGCTGACTGTCCAAGTGCATGTACAAAGTTCATTAAAAGACACCTAGAATGTAAATTGCTGAAGTCCAGAGACCAATCAATTACCTAACCTTATTTTGAATCTAGCACCTTCTAAAAACTTCAAGGCATTCGATATAGGCTTTGTTGTTAAGTAATGATTTTTCTGGTAGTGCTGGTTATTGTGGACAATTTGTTCTTGATCAGGGCGGGAGTGGGGTAGCATTGGAAGTAGAGGTTTAGGAAGCTCATGACTCAGGAGAAGATAACCAAAACTTCACCCTGGGAGATACAAAATGTCCATGGCAGTGGTTGATGAAGGGTTTAGCTGTGGAAAGTTCGAGACTCAGACCTGCACCCTGAGAGCTGTTCCTCAAGGCAACGGACACAGATTGAAGACTGCAGTATGTTGGAGAATTTTCTTTCTTCTTTAGTGAGAAAATTGATGTTCTCTACATACTAATTAGATTTACATGCACCATTACCGCCTAAGGCTTGAAGTGTAAGGATTAATGCTGAATGATTACAATACCTCCACATGCTTTCCGTCATGTCTTAAAATGGCTCTCTTGTCTGACGGACTAGGATGTATGAGACAGTCCTGTTTTAGAATGCAGGACTCTGGAGTTCTGTGAACACTCCAGTTAATCTATCAATGTCCTTCTCTTTACAGGAACAAAATAGGAATGATTACACTTGCCATAACCCTGGTTGGGAGATTAACGACATGACATTTGACCATCTGTTTACAGTTTTTAAGTGGATGCTGCTAAATGGAGATACAAACTGGAGATACTTTATTTTGGGCCAAGTGATCTCATTTTGCCCTCAAACTGGAAATAGGATATTACTTCCTCTTAGGAAAATGGCTACAGAAAGAAGTACAATTTTTAAAAGCTACATGTTCTTAGAGTTTTCTTGCTTTTTGTCTCTCTGTCTCTTTCTGTCTCTCTGGCAAGTGCACGTAACCTAAAGCAAAAACACAAAAACAAAAAAACTCTCTTAAAATAATAATAACTGTGCAATATTGACACTGATGTACACAGTGCATCCTCCAGGCCTGGTACCACAGTTGACACTGCATTTACCTCTGCCTCAGCCCCTGTGCTGCCAGGCCATATTCTCAACCACAAATTGGCTTTTCCAGAGTATTCAAAGGAATACATTTAAACCTTAGAATTACCTAAGTATCTAAATAAATAGCTGTAGGCACATTGAAATTTTACACATTATAGACATTTTCCCAGGGAGAAGTAAAGCTCTAAAACCAAGATTTACCCTCTTTAACAGAGTCTATCCCACATACCAGATGTCTCACTGACTCATCTGATCTGTAATTATTGGTAAGTAGAGGCTGATAAGAGACTTTGAAATCCATGAGGCTCATTTGGCCTGCTGTTTGCCTTATTTCATGCTCAATACATTTTTTGAGATACCTAAAAGTTGTCTAGCCAGGAGGAGTCAAGCAGAGATGAAATAGTCAAGTTCCAGAGTGTACTATCGCATTCTATTATTGCTCCTTTGGGTGCTCTAAAAGGGACCCTTGGGGGTATGTGACTAACAGTGGCCATTGGCACTACTTTGAAAGACTTTCAGAATGGGAAGTTTCCAAGGGTTGGTCATTAAACTGATTTGGAAGACTGAAGAGAAGCTGCACTTGGGATGTTGGAGGTCTCTAATTTTCTTTCTTTTTTGGAGGTTCTCTCCAAATGCTGCATGATAAAACACCCAGTAGACTGGTCTCGGGCAGTGGAGGATACACTGACTTACCAAAGGAAAGGATTTCCACATGAACCCCCTAGAGTGCCACAGTATGGCTGAGTTGCACAACCAGAAAACTGTTACTAAAAATGAAACACACAGAAAATGAAAGGCCAGGAGGATACCTGAGTATCCTGTATTTAGGACTACACCTTTGATTCTGAGATTGATGCTATGTCCTTTAGGATTTCTTATGTTCTAAATCTCATCTTAGAAGTCAATATCCTCAATTGTATTTCTAATAGACGTTTAGATGACATGTTATAACATTAGCCATTTAACATTTGGGACACCTTTCTACAGAGTAGCATAAAAAGGCATTGTTTGGACTTGGAAAGTTTTTGAAAGGATTGAGTTGAGTGGTTTTCTTTCCTTTTTTTCCCCTAGAAGACACATCCACTCCCTTGTGAGAGAAAGAAAGATAAAAGGAAAGAAAGAATTCACCCCTTGTGATGAATGGCTATGCCACAATCCCCTCTCCCTCCATTTGCCCTTTAAAGATTTGGGACACACATGCTCTATGTGTTTCTCGCTCTCTTTCTTTCTTTCTTTGAGAGATTTTTGCTATAGGGCATGTGCACTCACTGAAGACACAGAGAGAGACAGAAAGCGAGAAATCAGGGAGTATTGCCATGTTGTAATCCCTTCTCCATTCTCCTCTTGGGATTTTGGGCATGCATGCACTCACCCCCAGTGTGAGTTTTAACCTGTTGGATTCAGGACTCAAATATGGTCGACTACGTGGGAGTCCAGCAATGCAACCATTATGCCATCTCCTGGTCCTGCCCTGCATGTTTTTCAAGTCACTGAATCTGGGACTCAAACCAAGCAGTCAGCCATATGGGATCCAGCCACTGTGCCACCAGCTAGCTTGAGAAGGGATTTTCAGATGTGATTTGTTAGTAGTTTAATATGAACCATTCAAATTAAGAAATATGAATGGCTTTTGTTGATATTGCTAAAATCATTATTAACCCCTATGATACAAATGTTTACTGATTTTTATTGCTAATGTTACAGTCATTATTAATATCTGTGATATTAATCTAGCATTTACTGATCTATATTAGCATGTTGTCAATCAAGTCACAAGCCAATTTCTTTCATTCCAATTATAGTAGAATAAATAGTCTCAGTCCAGGACCCAAATGCCCATTCCAAATCACCTTATGTGTACTGATTTTTCTTTTACATCTTCTTTTTTTGTACACCTTATGACTATACTGTTCATGGAAAGTCTACATGAGGATAAAATATCTAATTATTAGAGCTTTACATTTGCTAAATGTTGTGATAGAAAATGTTTGGAACATTTTCTGACTAGAAGTTCAGTGGACAAGATAGTAGAGTATGCACACAGACTCATGGGCACCCACATACACAGGCACACATACAGCACATGGACACACATACACATGTGTTTTTCAAGTCACTGAATCTGGGACTCAAACCATGTAGTCAGCCATGTGGGATCCATCCACCATGCCACCAGCTAGCCTGAGGAGGGATTTTCAGATGTGATTTTTGCTAAGATCTGTCACTTAGCAAAGGCAAGCTGAATGATGTTTTAATGTTTGTGAATCTACTGTTTTGAGAGACAAACACCCACATTTCAAAGTGGCTGATCCACAGTGTGATTGTGAGGGACTACGCTGAAGGGGTCTGTCTCTACAGCAGGACTTCACAACCTAGGACACGATCTGCACTGCCAAGAGGGATCAGACTTCGCCAGATTCACCCGGGATTCTAGAGAGGAGACTTATAGAGAAGTACCTAAAAATCAGACCCAGGTGTTTCTCTGGGCTTCCCAGAAATACTGATGATGTATGGGCATGTGTCCAAAGTATCCTGTGGAAAAGGACTGCCAAACCTTTTCCCAAGTGGCTTCACACTTACCCTCGATTAGTCTGATCCTGAAGTAGGCGATGAGGAGGAGAAGCAGCAAAGTCACAGGCAGGAAGACTCCAAAGAGCAGAAGCCAACCGGGGACTTCCTGCATGAACGCTGACAGCACGGGGCTCATGGCCTCTGCACGGCCTCCACTGGAACAGTGGGGTTCATATGCGGAACCAGGGCAGCCTTGTTCCAAGTCTATGCTTATTTTCTTCTGAGGCTCGGCCTTTGCTCAACACATCTCAGTGGAACTTTTTGTGGACTTTGTTCTATTTAAACAGCCCCATTCATTCTGAGAGGACCGCTGGCAGGTTACTCTGTAACTAAGGGTAGGGGAATTGAAAGGCAGGTTACCAAAGCTCTTCCAGAGATGAGTATTTATCTGCCAAGGGCAGGGATGACCCTGGGAGGCTGAGATTTCTTTGTATTCCATTTATCTAGAATTAAAAATCCTTGACTTCAAGCAAAGCTTCTTCTCTCTCTTTATATATTTTTTTTTCTTCCTACATATTCCTGGCACAGGAAGATTTTTTTCCTACATTTCCTAAATTTCAGAATTAAAAAATAACTTAATAATCATGCTAAAATACCTGTGTTTGGAAAACAGTGAATTTCACTTCATACAGAATTGATACAACTACTGGGTCATCAGAAAAGTCATAATATATTTTTCTTTATTTTTCTATGCAAAAATGCCTCATGACTTTCAAGGACCCAATACTATCAAGAAAGGAGAAATGAGATTCTTTCCACATGTGAAAACTTCTGGTATGTTCTACACTGAATAGTTCTCTGAGAAGTGCATTGATTTATTTGTTTATTTAACCAACATTTAATTAGACTAGAACCTAACCTCTAGACAAGATGCTGGATATCTAAAGAAGAGTAAGGCTAGCCTCTGCCCTCTAAGAGTGGAGACAGGACCAAATAGATGGAGGGTGTTGTGGCCCTGTTCCCTCTCCCCTTGTGTCAGTCTTGGCCTGCTCCTTTAGCTTGTGTTTTTAGCTCTGCTTTGCTTATGCTTTCTGTAGCCCACCATTAGCAGCAGAAGGTGGCCCCTGAATGATAGTGGTGTGTATAGCATTGGTAAAGTCAGTTTCTAGGGAAAAAAAGGACAATAAATGGACAAATGTCAAAGTTGACATGAATCTGTTGACTATGTTACCATTGGCTGCTTTAGTGAAAAATTTCTAAAGAATAGGCCTACTGAACTAAAACCAATGGAAAGAATGGCTTCCCTAGTCAAAGGATATTCTGCAGAATTTGGAGAATTTTTCTGAGTTGGGAAGCCACTCGCAGCCACCTTCTTGGCTTCATTCCTCTTTTTGTGTTTTCATCCTGTTCCTGGTGTTCCTGACAATGGTCTTGGAAGTGGCATCCAGAATCTACCAAGGACAAGCTATTGTCAGTGCCTCCCAAATTCTTCCATCAAGGACTTTGGTCATGAAGAGTTCAGTCTCAACTGTAAAGCCTGCACCCTAATTTACAAAATAATAAGACTGAAGAGGTCTTGGCTGGCTTTCCTGTGCAGTGAACAGTAAACAGCATCCCTCTCAGAGGAGTGACATCTTAATTTCAGAGGATCCATTTAGAATACCGAGATTAAGTCAGCATTCATTGCACTTTCTTTGAGTCTCCCACTCCACAAACCTTTGAGTGGTGTTGCTGCCGTTATCCTTGCAAGCTTTTCATCGAGATGGCTCTCTGGTGCTCTTTCATCTTGAACAGGATGCTAATTTGTAAAGTGTCAATCTGCAAAGACCCTCAATGAGCAGGTGACATTACCAGGGAGATGTCAGGCAGCTGTTAGGCCTATTATCAAATTCTTCCTTCCCATTTCATTCCATTCAGCAAATCTTCACTGAATGCCTAGACAAAGTTAAAGGGAAGAGGCAAGTAAATGGCAATGGTAGCTCCCAGATCGACATGTAAACAGAGCACAGTGGAAATGCTGAAGAGGCACTAATTAATTCAATCCAATTGAGGAACTTGGCTGAGTTTATTAAAACGATAAATTCTGAGCTGAGTCTGGTGAGTGGGTAGCTGGGGAATGCCCTCAAAGAAAGACATGAGAGTGGGGCAGGACAGGATTTATGAAGGATGGGGAAGAACTGAGAGTAACTGAATGGTATAGGTTTCAGGCCAGAGAGTGTCTAAAGTATGAAAGCTGAAAGAGTGGGGTAATGTCAAAGCTTACAAGCTTAGATGCCCTATTGGACTCTGCTATTTGGACAAGGAGGACCAATCAAAGGTCCTTGATAGTGGAAGTGGATGATCTGATCTGGGCTCAGAAAGTACTCAAGTAGCACATTAAAGAATGAACTGAGGAGATTAGAGTAGGTTATCTCATCATGGTACTGAGATATAATGAGTCTGAGATAAGAGATGGCAGAGTGAGAAAGGGGCACAGGGAGGCCGCAGAGATGAAAGGAACAGCTCTTAGTGAATTTTTGAATGTAGAGAGGTGGATCACACCAGCAATACTAATAATCATTGAGTACTTACTAAATGTTAGGCACTATATGGGAATAAGCAGTTTATGTTTATTTCATCTTCTCAGTAATTTTATGTGGGATAGACTCATACAGATGAAGAAACAAAGTACAGGAAGGCAAGTGACTTGCCCAGGCACAAGTAGGTGATGGAGCTAGGATTCAAATCCAGGATCCACACCCAGAGGTCGTGTTCTCATCCACTATGCCATGTCTGGCTGGAGTGGCAGGGAAGATGGTGGTGCTGCAAACTGAGATCCAAACACAGGCAGTGCAGTAAGTTTGGAAGTAATTTTGCAGTCATTAAATTGTAGGTGGTGTAGGGTTGTCCAGTGGGAATCTGGAGGAAATATGAAGTTCAGGAGTGAAGCCAAGACTTCCAAAGTCAAATTGGGATTTATTAGTAAATAGATGGTGGCAAGGAGGGAGGGATGGAGAGATTGCTTAGAAAGGAGTACATGTGAGAATAAAGGGCCAGCTGTAGACCCTAAAGAATGCTCTCATTTAAGACTTGGCTGAGGCCAGGTAAGCACCAGGGAAGAAAATGGATATAGGAGGCTCTGAGGAATGGAAGAGAAAACCAGAAGATATAATGTTGGGCAACTGAGGGCCTAAGAAATTTTTAAAAATTATTTTATTTAACCTTATTTATCATTGTTATTATTATTGTAATTTGACCAGAGAGAGAGACAGAGAGAGAGAGAGAGAGGTAAAGTGAGAAAGCAAGACACCAGATGTGGGACTTAAACCACCGTGGGCCATGTAGGAGTCCAGTGCCCTCAACCACCATACCACTTGCTGGCCCTTAGGGCCTAAGAAACTCTAAGAAGGAGATGAGATAATAGGTATGGGTTGGTAGATCTGAGGTAATTCTGGTTCACAAAGGAAGTTTTGAGAGAACATACCTTTTGAGGTAGACGTAAAAGTTTTCTCTTTAAATAGTTCTTTGGGGATATAGTTGACATATAATAAACTGTATATATTTAAGGGTACAGTTTATAAATTTTGACATGTAATTTGACATATATGTGCCTATGAAATATCCACAAAGGATGAACATGTCCTTCACCCCTAGGTTTCCTGTTTTTCTTCCCTGTACCTGTCCCTAACTTCTCCCTCTTTCTCCATCCACATGCATCCATTAATCTACTATCTGTTACTACAAATTATTGGTCACTGGAAAACTCATGACATATTTTCTATGTTTTTCTATGCAAAAATGTGTCATGACTCGGACCAGCAGATAGCATAATGGTTATATTGCTGGACTCCCATGTAGTTGACTGTGGTTTGAGTCCCAGACCTGGTGGCTTCAAACTCATGCTGAGCACATGTGCATGGATGCCTAAAAATCCCAGGAGAAGAACAGAGGAGAAGGGACTGTGGTGTGGTCATAACTTCCCTTGGGGGTTGTTTCTCGCTTTCTGTCTCTCTGGCAACCACATGCACCCTATAGCAAAAAAATCTCTCTTAGAAAAAAAAAAAATGTGTCCTGACTTTTCCGATGACCCAATAGTTAGCATTTTCTAGAATTTTATACAAATAGAATCATACAGTCTTTTGTTTGTATAGCTTCTTTCACTTGTTATAATGACTTTAAATTCATATTGTCATACAAATCAGTAATTCATTGCTGAATAGCATTTCATTGTATGGATATCTATTTATCCATTCACCTGTTGATGGGCTTTTAGGTTATTTCTTGTTTTAGGCTACTACAAATAAAGCCACTATGAACACTCCTGTAACAAGTCTTTGTATGAACAAGTGCTTTTCATTATTTGTCTTGGGTAATTACATACTAGGATGACTGGATCATATGGTAGATACATGTTGACTTTTTTAGAAATTGCTGGTGAAGTATCAAGTCAGAAACAGTGATAGCATAAATCCATGCTGCCTCGAAACAAGCTGGGTCCTTGATTGATTGATTGATTGATTGATTGATTGAGTAATTTTTGCTGTAGGGCACATGTACTTCCTGGAGAGAGACAGAGAAACAGAAATCACTCCTGGGAGAGAATGGCCATGCTGCAATCCCTTCTCCTCTAATCTTCTCTTGGGATTTGGGGCACACACGCACATGTGCCTGGCATGAGTTTTTTAAGCAGTCGAGTCTGGGAATTGAACTGTAGTCTACTACATGGTAGTTCAGCAATGTAACTATTATGCCATCTGCTGGCACAAGCCGGGTCTTTAAAAAGAGAATTTAAGGGCTGCATCTGGGCTAAGTGTATGTTTACCCCCTTAACTCCCTTGACAATGCCCAGCTGGGTTGATGAGGGATCATTATCCTAAGCAGTCTCTGCAGAAACAGGAGAAATAGAGAGCCTCAAGATGTCTTCAGTCTTTCAGAATTAGGACTAGTTAGCCTCACTGTTGGTGTCTCATTATGGTTTAAGGTTGTGTTTCTCCAATGATGTTGAGCATCTTTTTATGTGCTCATTTGACATTTGTGTATCTTGTTAGGTGAAATGCTTGTCCAATTATTTTGCCCATTAAAACAGATGTGTTGTTTGTTTTCTTATTGAATTTTAATAGTTCTTTATATATTTATATAATATAGTAAATCATTGTAGATATGATTTGCAAAGATTTTTCTCTACATCTATGTATCTTTTCATTCTTTTAACAATGTTTTTTGGAGTGCCTAAGTTTTTAATTTTGATAAAATCCGATTTGTCCATTTGTTCATTTATGGATTGAGCTTTTCATGTCTAAGAAAACTTTGCCCAACTCAAAATCACAAAGATCTTGCCCTATGCTTTCTTCTAAAAATTGTATAGTTTTAGGATTTTTACTTAGGTCTACCATCTATTGTGAGTTAATTTTTCTGTACACTGGGATATATGGGTTATAGTTTTTTATTTTTTGCATATGAATACTGGTTCAGCACCATTGGTTGAAAAGGCAGCCCTTGCTCCACTGTATTCCCTTAGTACTTTTGTACAAAATCAGAAGCAAATTATGTGTGAATCTATTTCTGCTCTCCCTATTTTCTCCACTGATCTAATTGTTAATCTATGCACCAATACCACTTGTCTTAATTACTGTATCTTTAAAATAACTCTTGAGATGAGTTATTTGTCCTCCAAATTTGTTCTTCTTTATCAAAGTTGTTTTAGATAGTGTAGGTAGTTTTCATTTCCATATGATTTTTTTTTAGGGAGATTTTTGCTATAGGTCGTGTGTGCTCTCCATATGATTTTTTTTTTTTTTTTGGAGAGGTTTTCGCTATAGGGCATGTGCGCTCGTCAGACAGAGAGAGACAGAGAGACATAAAGCAAGAAATCACCCCCTAGGGGGGATGGTCATGCCGCAATCCCTTCTCCTCCATTCTCCTCTCGGGATCTTGGGCACACACGCACACGCACCCGGCGTGAGTTTTAAGCCACCGGGTCCGGGACACGAACCGCAGTCGACTACGTGGGAGTCCAGAGACATAGCCATCATGCTAACTGCTGGTTCCCTCTCCATATGATTTTTAAAGTCAGTTTATCAACTTCCATAAAAAGGCATACTGGGATTTTGATTGGGATTATGTTGAATCTATAGATTAATACAAAGAGAGAACTGATATTTCAACATTATTGGGTCTTCTGACCCATGAACATAACATGTCTTTCAGTTTTGTAGTTTTCAGTTTTTATTATCTTTTGTTAGATATATCAAAAGATTTTATACTTTTTATATTGTCATACAGATATTACTTTATAAATTTCAATTTCTGAGTAAACATTGCTAGTATAGAAGTTTTTCTTTATTTGTGAAAAATACCTCATCACGGGGAACTCTTAGAAGATGAAATATTGTAGTTTATTTAAACAACTTTCAGAGCTTGGTAATTTATCTTATTCCAATCTAATTGGTTGCCTGGGACTACACTTAGTAGGCAAAGAAACTATAGAAACACTGGGAATCTATTTAATTTACTACGACTGGAGGTGGGGTTTCATAGAAAGTGTGTAATATTCTACCATAATGACAGCAAATTCTTTTTCTTAAAGACAAATCTTAGAGCTGGCAGGTGGTGTGGTAGTTAAGGGTGCTGGACTCCCACATGGCCGACAGCGGTTCAAGTCCTGGATGTGGCAGGTTACTTTTTCACTTTCTCTCTCTCTGTCCCTCTCTGGTCAAATTTTAAAATATAAATAAATAAAGTTAAATAAAATAATTCTTTTTATTTTTTGAGAGGTTTTGGCTATAGAGAGTGTGCACTTGTCAGAAAGGCAAAAAGAGACAGAGAGATAGAAGGCAAGAAATCACCCCCCAGGGTAGATGGCCATGCCGCAATCTCTTCTCCTCCATTCTCCTCTCAGGATCTTGGGCATGCATGCACACGCACACAGTGTGAGTTTAAGCCACTGGTCTGGGACTCAAACTGCGGTTGGCTACATGGGAGTTCAGGGATATAGCCATTATGCTAACTACTGGTTCCTAAAATAATTCCAAAAAAAAAAAAAAATCTCAACCTCATGATCCTCCTTCCTTAGCCTTCCAAGTTGCTGAGACTATATGCACTCACTAATATGCCTGACCTCTAATTTGAGCAGGGAATTGAACCTGGGTCTGTCATGTGGCCCCATTCTGCAGAGCACATGTGTGTGCCCCTATAACTGGGCTCTTTACTTGGCTTTTTACTATGCAGGAATAATCATTAATATCATTAGAAATACCTACACTGGTGAAAACAGACACTACATTGGGGATTAAAGCCTCCTATTGGTTTCCTAGTGAATGCTCCTAGGGTTGATTTATGTGATTTAAGTTACAAGTGTTGTATAAGTTGATATTTAGGAGAGAATTCCTAGGGAACTTCTGTCATACCATGTATTATATTGGACTCTAAATGACAGCTGGCCAAGAGCCTACTATAGCTAATTGTGACCTATTGAAAGTAATGCCAAACCCAGCAGGTGTCTGATTTGGATTCTGCATTTGTCAGACTGAGCCATAAAGAATGAGTCATGACACGCCATAGAGCAATGAAAGCTCTGAAGTTCATCGGCAGCAGGGGCCAAAGGACCATTAGTTGATATCTAAAATATTAAATTACATACAGCTACATAGTCATATTAAAAGCAAATACAAACAAAACTACGAAATGAATGAATTTCAAACAAATGGTTGGTTTTCCTCATATGGGTAAGTTTTGTTGTAAGGAAGCATCCCTCACATTGTGAACTCCTATGGGTGTACAAGTCTGTGTTCTGTCTCTTGCTAACTGCCCTTCTGAACTTTGTTCACTAGCCTGTGTCAAATGAAGTAGTATCACTTGGCAGCAACACTACCATAAACACAAAAACAAGGGCTCCGAAATCATGCCTTAGCCTTAGTATTAATCGAAATACTCATTCAGAAAAAAAAAAAAAAAAAAACAAACTCTGGTTTTTGAACTTTGAGAAAAGTCCCCTAGGCTGTCATTATTCATAGTTGCAGGTAACAAATATTTATTGAGTGCATTCCAAGTGCCCCAGAGACACAGCTCTGGGGGCTGTGAACAAATCTCTGTCCTAACAGAGCTGACATTCCAGCAGGGCAGACACACAAGCAATGGTGGGTAACAGATTGGATGCTGTAGGGCTTCAACATTTGAATTTGGGATGGGGGATGGGGAGAGAATCAATTCAGTCCATTACAGAAGGTTTCTCAGAAAGATTGACTTGTGAACAGGGACTTAAATGATGCAGAAGAATAAGCTACTACATATTTGAAAGAATAAGAGTTCTAGGCAGAGGGAGAGGCAACTACTAAATTCCTGAGATGGGAATGTTTTTGGCAAGGTAGAAGATAAGGAAGAGGCAAACTGTTGTTGGGGCACACTGAAGACAGGAGTTTCTCATACACTTCTGAGAAACTCAGCCACACCGACAATAGGCCAAGGAAATGTGCCCGAAGTGTGGTCTGTAAAACTCTAAATCTTCTGTAGTTGATTAGACATTGCTTGGAAAATGACTAGGTTAGTGCAGAGAATACTGGGATAAGGAAGTTTCGTTTTTTTGTTTTTGGAGGTTTTTGCTATAGAGCACATGTGCTCGCCAGAAAGACAGAGACGGATAGAGAGATAGAAAGCAAGAAATCACCCCCCAGGGGGGACTGCCAAGCCGCACTCCCTTCTACTCCACTCTCCTCTTGAGATCTTGGGCACGCGTGCACGCACATGCGCCTGATGTGAGTTTAAGCCACTGGGTCTGGGACTAGAACCATGGTCAACTACATGGGAGTCCAGCGACATAGTCGTTATGCCAACTACTTGTCCCAGGAACTTCTTTATTGTGAAGTTTCTTAGAGCTTTCAGTTTGGTAAGGTGCCCTGTCAACATCCTAGGGAGATGCAGCATGCAGCCTTTCTGAAACTTGCTGGATCATTGAGTGTTTTCTGCCAAGAGAATCTCAGGAAATTAGGGGCTGCAGAATACCATTTGCGTATAAAACACTCTAAGGAGGTTTATCCAGGTACTCCAAAAATAAGTTATCAATGTACAGGTTGGGATTTTTAGGTAGAGTGCAGAGAATAGGGAACAAATTATTTTGAGAAATGATCATTTTGTGGGTTTCACTGGTTTTTGGTTTTATAAATTTTAGTAGCACAGCCCGGTCCCCAAATTCATGAAGACTCCATTTTGTTTCATTGTTCATGAAATTTTCTAGTGTCAGCTCAAACCCCTTTGCAAAGTTATTTTGTCTGTAGGAAAATAATCACTGGAATATGTCCACCTGAAGACAGATTCCTTGTCATCCTACCTGGGATGGCAGTATAAGTAAGATGTTTCTGATTGCTAGTGATTATTAGCAATCAGCTGTGGCAGCAATGATGGCTCTCTGGGTATAGTCTAAAGGTGAGGGTTCTCCAGGTTGTTTATGGGGATGAAGAAACTTAGACACACCGGAAGTTACTCGTTGTTTGAACTAATTTGGAATATTAGATATGGAAGTCCTGCTTGATTCAGGTTTTCTCTTTCTTCACCCATCCTGTCTGACTAATCAACATATTTATGTGATAAGAGATAAGAACAGAGACTGATTTATCATGAAGCCAATGAGGTTTAACCTTCAATGACCCTTATGTGCATGGGCCCTTCCAAGACCCAGGGAAAGACGCTGAAGTAGATAAATGTGGTCATAGTTATTGTTAAGTTTGCAAACAAAAGATATTTTAACTGCAGTTGGTTAATACTCTGTCTCTTTCCACTCCAACTTCCCCTCAGTCACATTTTCTGGTGTCAAGGAATGTACGAGCTACCATGAAGATTTTGGGGACAAGTTAAGAACATGAATTAAGGATGTTTTTCAGTTTAGGCTAGTGCTAAGCTGATGTGGTTTACAGTCATTTCTATGTATAGTTAAGTTGTAGTTAGCTGTCACGGTATAAGAATGGCTTCCAGAAATATTCCAACCACTCCTAACACCGCACTGATTCTTGGAGTTGTGCAGAGATCAAAGGTCATTTTGCAATATAAACCTGTGCTGTGCCTCGACTTCAGACTTATGTGAGAAGTGAAGGAGGAATAGATTTGAAATGGAGAACCAAAAGCTACTCTGGAAAATGTTTCCAAACATTGTTTATGCAAAATTATAAGCAGAAGACGTAATTGTCATTGATGCCTAATCAAAATGAAAGTTCTCTCCTGCAGTGTATACACTTATACAAACAGTATGTAGTTTTTGAAGAAGTTGCATAAGATAGAATTTCAGAACTTCTATGTTTGAGGGTAATAATTGACAGTCGTAGTACCATAAATAGTGAGAGCACCTCGTGTTTGTGGACCCAGAGTTAGTGGATTACAGTGTAGCAAATACAATGGTCCTGGCTGGTCCTGACAAAATGACGGGTTTCCACCAGATGGAGCTTAGACCTGAAGAAACAAGTGCTAGGGACCAGCAGTTAGCATAATGGCTATGTTGCTGGACTCCCATGTAGTAAACCGCGATTCGTGTCCTGGACCTGGTGACTTAAAACTCACGCCGGGCATGTGTGCGTGCGTGCCCAAGATCCCGAGAGGAAAAGGGATTGCAGCGTAGCCATCCCCCCGGGAGGTGATTTCTGGCTTTCTGTCTCTCTGTCTGTCTGGCGAGCATACATGCCCTATAGCAAAAAAAAAAAAAAAAAAACCCCTTAAAAAAAAAAAAAAGAAACAAGTGCTATACATATTTATGGAAGTTCAATATATGCAGTAGTGTAAGAGTAATTTACATGGTGGTGTAGTTCAATACAGCATAATGATAATTTTAAATTAAATTTAATTCCTCTTGCAAATGTCTTCATTTCTGATTAATTTTGTATGTTACTTAATATTGCTGATTATACTTGAAATTGGAAATATGATGAGAAAAATATCCAAAATTTAAATATGATATTGCCAGAAGGTTAAGAATAGAAACAATTTTATTGATTTGTTAACTTTTGAAATTTATAATTTGTTATTTCCTCCTTCAGTCTAAGCAAACATTTTTTTTACACAGAAATTTGTGGGGATTTTCATTGTTTTTCATTTATAGTCGGAGAGGACATATACTCACCAGAAAGAAACAGAAAGAGAGAGA